CGTTAATGCTAATTATATATGTGGCTGAATTTTATTTTCGATACTTTACTCGATCGAATCCGTTACCTGGGTATAGGTCATGATGAAATTAGGTTAAATATTATATAGTGCCGAAAAATATTCATTCCAAGCCTTTCTGATTTATAGGCCTCTTCCCCTTCCAATTTTTGGAAACAGACTTCAGTATCATGGGCATCCGGCAACATGGGCACAAAAGCTTCAAGAAAGATATGGAGATATGTGTGAAATATATATGGACACATTTGGTTATCGAGAAGCGATTTAGTTTCTAAAATTTTTAGTCCTTCAACCAATAATAATTTCTTGGTGCGCATCACAGCTCGTGAAGGTCTTGATGAGATTGGTGTTACAACTAGAGGTCTTACGTTTAATCGTAGTGTAGATTCTTGGATGTATAATCGAAAATTTTTTAATCAAGCCATCAGCGCACCAAAGTTTTTGAAGCAATCTGTAGAGAAAACTCGAGAATTATTTGCTGAAATGGAAGGCTACTGGTCCGATCTCGGACATGATATGACTCTGGATTTTTCTGAATGGATGAACCAGTTTATAATGGATATTTCTTTTGTTATGATTACGAATAAACGAGCATATTCTTTTGTTAATTATTATAATAGAATTTCCAAAGGAAATAGTGTTAAATATCCTGATAGTGTTTTGATTGAATCAGAAAATTTTATTAAAAATATTCATTCTTGGCTATCAGCCTTGGTATTCTTTATGGATACCCCAAAATTTTTACGTAATCATGTAACAAGCGTGAAAAAACAAGACAACTGGCTAAAGGCTGAAGTTAATAGGCTAAATCAAAGTTTTCTTGATATTATCAGGGATCGCAGACAGGAAATAAGTAGGATCCCAACGGATGTGCCATTAAAACCAGATTTTTTGACAATGTTATTAACTATAAACACTCCTCGAGATATTACTACAAATATTGCAGATGATCGCCATACAAGTCCCATGACCGACGAAGATGTTTGTGGAAATTTAATAGAAGCAATCGTGGCTGGTGTTGACACAGTAGATATCTATTAATAAATGATGCTATGTTTATTTAAGTATATGAACTAATATATTGAAATAGAATAGACCGCAAATACATTTTGTTTTATTGTATATCATTTAGCTCA